CTAATGTAGTAAAGGCAGATGAACTACAGAAGCCCTCTCTCAAGGGTCTATTTTCCATGGCAGGATTTCAGAAAGTCAGGGACTTCTCTGCTTGCCCAGGCATGGTTATGGCTGATATGCTTGTGCTGGCTTGATACTGGAGAGAGAAAAGCAAGGAGTCACATAGAGGAGGACCCTTTTGAGGTCACATCTTGTTAGGACCAGCAGACTTGGGAATGTGTGTCCAGAAACTACTTGTTTGTGTTTGTTTCTACTGTATTCAAGGAAAGGAAAAACCTCTCTGTTTATTCTTCTGTAAAGAAACAAGATCACACAGGCAAATACATTACATTTATATTATCAGTGTCTCTTCCAAATAGGAAGGCTGTAACAGGTGACAGTATACTTACAGCCTGTTCTTCAAACCTTTCAATGCTGTCTCTCACATGGAGGAAGAACTAGGGTAAGAACATCTTCACACTCTGCGAATTGCAGTTTGGCTTCTTTGCTGCAAGCTGTAAAAATCTCACTGCAAACATTCACAATTTAGTCTGAGCCACAGGAGCTGTAACTGGTACACGATGCTTCCAATGCAGTTTGTTTACAAGATGAAGGCCTTAGTCCCAGCCAGAGCAGGAGCACATACCACCACCATTTGGAAGCCTCTCTTAAGGAAATCCAGACTGACAACCTCTCTTCCTACTGCACATCACTGTGTGGTCCCATTTCCAGTTTGCCTGCTGCTCTCTTTCCCCCAGCATACCCGCAGGTAAAAAGGCATCACAAGTAACACACTGCCGCCAGGTGAGGAGCAAGTGAGGTGATGGTGCCAGCTGTCTGTACAATGGAGCTGCTATTGGTCCTCCTTGGCTGGAAGGATGGTTGGTAGGTGCAGCTTTGGCTTTGAGAGGGCAAGGGAGATGAGCCACGGAACAAACAAGAGCAATAAGAAGCATCTTCAGAGCTCTGTCAAGGATTCATGGAGTGTTTTGTCTATCTGAGAGGGGAGAGAAGATGGACTGAAAAATATTGCCCCCTGCCCCAGGCAGAGAGGAGACATTGGCAGGATCAGGAAACATGATGGCATCTTTCACCACTGCAGCACCCAGTGAGTCCCCACCAGTAGTAACAAAGAAAGAGACACATTTCTGAACATGTTTAGGAGTGTTAGTCTCCTCATCTCACTGGGGCTTAACACTCCTAAAATGCCTATATGAGTCCAAGTAAAAATGGAAAAAAACCTGCTATTTGCTGATTAAATGCTGCTTTTGGCCTGTCTCTCTTGCACAGAAAAATGAGCAGGCTTGGACTGCCTTGCTTTTCCCTGTATATCAGACACTGGCCCCTAACAGGACAAGAAGAACGGGACTGAACCGGAGGGACTAGAGACAAGGAACCTGCAAGACCTCCAGGACCTGCCATGCCAGCTCACAGAGAACTTGCTGAGCCCTGTAGCCCTGCTACTACATGGTTACTGCCTTCATAGGTTAATGCTCCAAACCCACCTGCAACATGAATAGAATGGGCTTGAGCTTACTTTGCTTCTTTCCATACCTCAGGACACCCAACTAGGCATTATGTTCACCCCACGTCTAGATGGCTCACCTTGCTACACTGCCATCTCTCTCATAGCTACAAAGCCTGAAACCCCCAAGGGCAGAGTTCCCTTAATTAATCATCAGGCAGATTTTTTTTCTCTGTCTCTTTTTCCATTTCTGAGTTGCGACGTTTCTTGCCAACTTTCTGCTTGGCGTGAGTTTCTACAACAGAGCAATGCAACTTCTGAAAATAGACACTACGCTGGAAAGCCTGACACACCCTATATGGAGCCTATGAGTGGCAAAATCGTAATCAAAAGCCAGTCAAGACCCTAGGCCTTGCTCGCAGCATTCAATTAAGGCTCTGAGCAAAGCAGCCCTAAGAGAAGAAAGCAAATGGGAACTCTACAAATACTGTTGCACAGAACCCCCCAGGCTCTTTTTGTCACTGAGAGACATTTGAGTTTGTAGTCTTTATGGTAAACCTAGCTCGGACGAGTTATTCCAATAGAGCTGGCACGTTCAGAATCCCTTTAGATAGAAAAATTCATGGAAATGGCCAACCTGCTGTGATTTCCTGATATGAAACTGCAGGCAAAGCCTATGGGGAAAAAAAGTCAGTAATCGTATGATACAAGTCTGAGCTCTGTCTGTCATTAACAAGGGTGGGTTTTTCAGGGTAAAATTCTCCTGGGCCAAATAACAGGAGCCTGATAAATAAAGCTCGTCAACTGCCCGTTCTGACTCACTCTCTCCTGCTGGAAGGATGACTCACTGTCATGTGTGAAAGGCTGCCAGGTCTTGCTTACATGCTTAGACAAGCATGGATTGTCTGTGTTAGACATACATTACCTCAGAAGAAGCAGACACTTAACGCTGAGAAGACAGCCCTGGAAAAGACTCTGCTGACTAAAGGATCTGAACTTCAAGGTATTTCTCAGTCCTTTCTGGAAAGTTCAAGGTTGTTAGATAACCACAGAAAACTTAGTCCCAAAGCCATGGCTGAGGGCTTGGCTGATGATCACAGTGTTTTAAAACCAGGACTCACTAGGACCATCAGATTTTACCCAGGTAGCTCCTGCGGAGTGAGCCAGACAGCACGTTCTAGGTGCAGACAGAAGTAACTGAAACCATGCCTGGTCCAGAGTTGCCTTTTTTCCGAGGCAAACAGCGTGCCAAAAGCAGTCACTCGTTGCCCGCTATTTTATAATGAGAAGGTACCCTCATGGGGCTGTTCCACTTAAGGAGACTGTGAGGAACCTGCCTTGAATCCAGAGAGAGCCAAACACAGCATGTTGAACATCATCTCTCAGTCTGAGCAGCTCATGGGTGGCTTTTGAGCAACACCAGTAGCTGCTCAGCGCTTCCTCCTCTTTGCAGCGACACAGACCTCGCAGGTAAGTGACAGTGGGCAAAAAGCTCATTTTCATCCAGGAGCTCAGCTGCCTACGTGAGTGTGTGCTCCACCCTTCGGTCTTCTGTCGTCCCAGGCTCACCACAGGCCAAGTGTGCAACTCTGTGAAGTCTCTGCCCCAGGCACCACAGGGACTGTTCACAAATCCCAGTTATTAGCAAACACCAGACGACATTGCCCTGCAGGACTGAGGTGGTAAAGGACACTATTCCCTCATACTCTTTCTGAGGCCCCGTACAATGCCACTTTGCTTGGACGTGACAAAGCAAGGTGCTTTTGCAAGGACTAGAGTACTAGGATGTCAATCCACGGATCAGAGTGTCACAGCTAGAGAGATAAAGCTGTACCCATCCTTTAGGATACAGAGAACTCCCAATGCAGGAACTGAAAGGTTTCTCCCAAGACCATGAGAAGGAAGCTGTGCCGGAGCCTCCCTCAGGTTCAGGTATTAGCCAACATCTTGCTGCATCATTTGGTCAGAAAGCCATGCTGCTGCAGGGCAATGATACCACAACCGCCTCTTGCGTGTTGGGCCAGGTATGCACCATCTGGGACTTGCCCATGCAGCTGAGAAAGATAGTTGCACATGCTTGGGTCCAGCCAAGTTCTCAGGAAACCTGCAACTAAAGCACCATCTCAAGGCCTCATCACCATTTTTCAGACCATGTGAGCACTAATCTGCCTGCCCAAAACAAATATGTAACCTAGAAATGTTAATTTTGAGTAATGAGTGTGCCATCCCACATCACATATATCTCTTTTATATTTCTTCTCCTTTGGGAGAGAGTATGTGTTTTCCATCCCACAAAATTTCTAAGAGGTTATTTTTAAATATTTTTGCTCTGTACTAGAACAGATGTCTAATGAAAAGCTTGAGAGAGAAACTGCAGGCCACAACAGCCTCATGCAATGGTAAAAGGACTCACCTGACACATGGAAAACAAGCCTAGGCCACAATGCTAATTAGGCATTCATATAACATGTGCTAGTCTAAGTGAAGAAACTAAATAATCACTGTGAATCTGCAGTTCAAGTGTCTGTCTCAGTAAGATGGCACAGGGCCATCCCACATACGTGATCTAGTCCCTGGACTACTGGTTGCTCCAAAAGAAGTAAATTTCTTATCATAATTGCGCTGCAAAATTTCATCCTTTTAAAAACCAAACCACACATTGCAAGGGAAAATTACACAGGTATATTTTGCTGAAAAACTTCCAAACCAACACTAACATGTCAAAGTTCTCCTCTTAACAATGATGAAAATATTACCTCTCTGGTTTTCTTCCACTGTTAATCATTCATTATTTTTTCATTGATTCTTATTGACTATGACAAAGTCAGAATTTCATCCTAAATTTTCCTCCTGTTGCTAACGATTAGGATGTACAGATAGTCTTACAGATAAAATGGTACCATTTCTTACCATAAGTTCATTTTGTTTCAAGATACTGACATCCCAACTGCATATTTTAAGTTTGAACATCTAAGATCTGCTTTCCCAATCATGTAAAATCAATTATAAAAATAAATATATATATATAATTAAAAAGATACAACAAAATGAAGACTTGGTAGATATTTTAAATAACAACACTTCTCTTTGCTATACTTATTTCACAATGAGTCACATATTAGGCTAGCTATATCTGAGAACAAAATGACAGATGATGGAAATAAAAAAGAAGTAAACACAGTATATTAAAGATTCCAGAGAAACTCTCTTTAAAAGCAAAATTTCAGCAACTTTTAGACTGTAGTAAGACATATCTCCTGGTTGCTTTGCTAACCTTTTAGAAAAAGAGGGCTGACATTAAAATCAATAATCATATTCATCTGCAGGGGTCAAAGCACTTCCCAAAACAAGTCAGTAAAATAATCTTCTCAGAAATGGTGCAATGAAGGCATTAAGATGAAGGAAAAGTAGTGACAGAACCAGGAATTACAGTCCAGGTCTTCAGTCACCCAGTCAAGGCCCTTCTGTGCTAAGCTACCCCATCTTGGACAAGTGAGTTGGGCTTCTTAAACTGCAATTTCAAAGGGATTTACTTAGCAGTGTGAAACCATGCCACTCAACACAGATACCACTTTGGCCAGTTGCTCTCCTCTGCCATTGCCCTTGACAGCCCAGTGCTCTGACCACTAAGCCTGAGAGGTGGCAAACTGAGGTCATTTGTCAGGATGGAGAAATCACTCCTTATTCTTCCTTGTTCTTGTTCTTCCTCTTCCTGCTCCTTCTCCATCACCCCATCAGGCACGCTCATAAAGAATTTTAACTCACTACAATGATCTTCAACGGCGCCCACCCTGTTAGAAAACATCGTGTGAATCTGCTCAACACAACAAAGCAAAGGAAAACAGGAGAAAGGGGGACAGATTTGTAATGTTTCCTAGGCAAACCAGCAAGGAACCTTGCCTTCTTTAGCAGAGAGTGTCTGCTCTCCCCCAGGGGAAAATAACCATGGTTATACCCTCAGCACCTTGCACACCACGTCATGTTTCTGTCTGGAGTGTGCATGGACACAATGTGAATTGCATACATCCAAGTGAAGCTCAGCACTCCCTGGGAAGGTTGTCCCTGTTACATACGAATTACATGACTCCCTGCATAAACTATAAAGCCAAGATGCTCAGGATGCATCCAGCTTCCAAAGCATGCACAAAACGATTACGTGTGCATTTGGAGCAAATTTCACACTCGCAAGAAATACTGGACTTGCTGGTCGTGTGTTGAAGATATATTCAAAGATTTTGCATGTACAGTGCTGTACCATGTATTTTGCGTATACCATTCATTAGATTGCCAGAACTCTGGAAGATCCAGAAAAATTAAGGCAATTGCCCGATTCTAACTTCAAAGCAGAAGAAGAAGACTTATGAGGGAAAGTCTTACAGTGAGCCTTACATACACTTCAACAGAGCAAAACTGATTTACAGTGGTCCTGTTTACATGAATTATTACATTAAAAGGTACTGTAGTGATACTGCTGTTAACCATGGCTGGATGGGAAATGGAATTCCTCTCATATGGTATACCCAGGCTTGAAAGATTTTGGTTTTATCATGAATCAGAATAAAAGGTTCTATTTCTATTACAATCAAAATTCTATTTTAAAAGTGGAATGTAGTAACAAAATTACTTTTTCAGAATAGAGTACATCAGTAATGTCTGATCAGAACACTGTTACAGGAAAGTCAAGAAGTAATAAGCAATTGGAATGAATCATGAGAGGGGAAAAAAAATAAACATCCCCTTCTGATTTTGAGAGGTTTTGATTAATTACTGTTCAAATTTACGTTAAAGCATATTTCCTTGCCCCAGAAAACTTTTGAGTTTTAACAAAGCACTACGATGGACAGTAACTGCTTTACCATCAGTTAACCAAGAGTACTACCTCTGCAAGCTTCGGGCTCTCTCAAGCCTCTCAGGACCTACACTCCTGTTCCTCAACAACTCCCGTGTAGACCAAATCCTCAGTCCAATGTCCCCTCTCCTGGTGAGGAAGAGCTAGCTGTCCATCATCCTTCCTCATAGCACTATCAAATCTATTTATGCGGAGAAATAGTCCCTTACTTGGTAGTGAACAATTCAGAGAAGTCCAGCAGGCCATCACATGTGCAAGGTTGAGGGTCTCTGCCCTGACAGTAGTGGTTCTGGGAGACGTGTTGAACGCTGTCCTTCAGTACGGGCAGCAGCGTGCTGAGCGCTGGTGAGTGCTGGTGACCCATGCTGTTTACAGAAGGATGCTTGGCGTGGAATTTTCCTTAAAGAAAACCAATGCAGGTGCTACCTCAGTGTATTCGGACAGGGCAGGTTCCCTAAAGACTCACCAGTGTGTCAAATATGTACCTGAGATACAGCAATCGCACTGTATTTGCATCAGCAGTCCAGTCTCCTGGTTTCTGCAAGTCAACATTGTTCCTGTCTCTCAAGGCAGGACTGAACACATCAGAGCAAAGAAGTCATCCTGATTTCTTCCCAAATCACTTGGAAGTGCTTCTGTCTGAACACAGACCAAGCCACACAGCTGCAGAAGTTTTAGAAGCTCTCAATTGGAAACACAGATCCTCTTTTCACTGGGGAAAGGTCCAGAGCCCCAGCTGCATCCCAGAGTGCAGGTTGACATGACTCCACTAAAATGCCAATGTTGTAGTTTAGCCCAGCTGGCAACTAAGGCCACATGGCCACTTGCTCACCCCTCCCACCCTTGGGGAATGGGGAAGAGAATTAAAGAAGAAAAGGGAAGGAGACTCGTGGGCTGAGATAAATATAATTTAATAATAACAATAACATAAAATTTAAAGTAATAATGATAAAATAATATATTTATATGTATAATGATAATAACATATACAAATAAGTGATGCAGAGTGTAATTGCTCACCATCTGGTGACCAACACTTGTCCCATCACGGTAAACAATTCCAAAACAGGTAAGTCCTGACACCACAATCCCCAATTAGCGAGAAGCCCGAAAAGAGACCGAGAGAGACAGAGCACTCCAAGAGTCTGGGTGTGGGAGCACCACGAAGACCAAAAGCCCTTATCTCCAGTCAGCCCTCATTTTTATACTGGGCACGACGCTGCATGATATGGAATACTTCATTGGCCAGTTTGGCCCTCAATCCTAAATCTAAGTTCAAATCATAAGGGGAGTTGTGGACCCTCTGTCCCGGCCATGCTCCTCCCTATCCTGCTGTGTTCCTGCACACTGGCAAGAACACAGCAAGCTAAAAAGTCCTTGATGCCTCAGTGCCAACTACAAACATCAGTGCGCTATCAACATTCTTCTCATAGCAAATCCCAGACTAAAACTGAAACACAGAGCTCCTCTACCTGCTAAAAACGAACTCTGTCCCAGTCAAAACCAGGACAGCCAACAACCATTTGGCGTCAAACTTTACCATGCATCATCAGCGAAGATTTGAAAGGACTTTTTTTAAAAGTTTGCAGACAGATGAGGCTAGAAACAGAGTTAGCTCAGACAGATTTCATCTTGCTCAACTCTGACCAATTTGGCTTACTCTTGCTGCTAGAAACTAAGGAGATAACCTGAGATCACCACACAGTTTCCCTCAATAATCAACGGAAAGAGACTGATGGGATGAGTCATTCTGTGGGAGTTCCTATCACACACATCCATCTCAAGAGGCAACAATTCACCCTCTGGCTGAGCTTCTCCTTACTTGCAATGGCTGTCGAGGCAGCCAAAGGGCATGGTCTGACTGGGCAGCTGTTGTTTGGGCAGCTGCAGGTAAACAAGATGATCCTCACCCTGAATGACGTTGTTATGATCACAGAAGATATTAATACCAAATATGAACTCATTGCATCTTACCTCCGCATGTCTGCTTGCTGATTAAAAACCAAAAATCTAGCTTTTTTTTTTTTTATATGAACTGCTTAGGGATATGGTTTAATGGGGGATTAGGGATGGTTGGACTGGATGGTCTCTAAGGTCTTTTCCAACCTAGAAATTCTATGAAATTCTATGAAATTTTCACTCCTATTTAACATTTGTGATCCCTGGCATAAGCTGGATCAACCCCCAATAAATCCTATCTCTACTGAGTCTGCTCTTGAAAAGATGGCATTGCTGGGACTGCTGTGTGTCCTTGGAATTGAAACCACAGTTCCCCTCTTTCAAGGAAAGGCTTTCCAACTTATGAAGTATAAAGTATAATTTGTGCCCAGATGTTTTGTATTAATTTACTGAAGCCCTGCTACATAGCGGCTCTCATAAATGGCTGATGGAGCTGTGTGTTGCAGGCCAGAAGAGCTCATTGGCACCTAGAAATACCACCAAGGGCAATGGAAATGAAAGAAGGCTGTGAAATTTCTTTCCTACAGAGATCACAGAATCACAGAATGGTTTGGGTTGGAAGGGACCTTAAAGATCATCTAGTTCCAAACCCCCTGCCATGGGCGAGGACACATTCCCCTAGATCAGGTTGCTCAAAACTTCATCCAACCTGGCCTTGAACACCTTCAGTGATGGGGCATCCACAACTTCTCTGGGCAACCTCAGTTCCCAGTTCCAGTGCCTCACCACCCTCAGAGCAAAGAAGTTCTTCCTTAGATCTAATGGAAATCTCCCCTCTTTCAGTTTAAAGCCATCACCCCTTGTCCTATCACTACACACCCTTAGAATCATAGAATCATAGAATCGTT